ATTCAACAATCATAGTGATTGATTCAACAATCATAGTCTCAACTCAGGGTTCAAATACAGCCTTAGGATCACATATTGCCCGTCCTTGATTTAGGTTATTATGTGCCTTGTTTGTTTTTGGCTTAGAATGTGTGAATCCACCCATTAGGACTTAATAGAATATGCAAATTCTATTGGCACAATGGATTATTCAATAAACCATGATTAAAACTTGGCCAAATGTGTAAATGCAACTTATGTGCATGTCTGAGAACAGGGGGGAAAGGCACAAGTGCATGCTTTCACTTTCTTTTTGCCTTTTTTTAGAAATATAGATGTATGTTACTTCCTATAACAAATTACTTTTAGCCCCCGAGCTATATACTTTACAGGAATTCAATATTAAAATAAATTAAGTTTATTCTCAGGTAAGCACAGATGAGACTATGCCATTGTCTAAGATCATATGCACAATTATTAGGGAACAAACCCTGTTCAATTTAATATCCAATGCAAATAGGCATCAATTTGAGTTGGCTGATGCTCTAGGGCTTGAATTAGTAACTCACAATTTCTGCCCTCTTCAGTCTAGGCAATTTCAGTATTTTATTGTCAAAGCTTTTGGCAGAGCTCACATTTTAGTTAGGTTTACAAAGATAACATCTGAAGATAGAGAACTCCAGACCTAACGTTTTCTGTATTCTATTAACCAGCCTTTTGGGTACATGCCTGCACAGAACTACATATTCTAATAGACAAGTTTTACATTACCTTTGATAATTTGTTGCAAGATTAAAAACTAAAGAAAATCTCAGTTTTTCCTGTCTGCAGGATCCCCGCCAATCCTATTTCAATGTCATCTGTTTGATTTCTTGGTGAGTACTGTATAGCTTGAAATTCTCAAACTGATGGTTATTTTTACCGCTACCTATGTTTATAAGTAGTTAGCAAGTTTTTATTTAAAAAAAATTGCTTCAGTATTCCAAAATTAAAATGGACGCACATTAATTCAACATGTAAATTGGCCAAGAGAAACCGGAACACTGGGTTTCTGACATAACAGGAAACTGAAAAACTGGAAACATGGCCTAAGAGCTAGTTAAGCTATGATAGCCTTGACCTGTGCTTAGAAGTAGTTCCTCTTTTCTATCCCTTTAAGCAAATATTTAAAAGATCAGACTCAGTTTAGAGGAATTTTGAGTTAAACAATGATAGAACTGAATGTACAGTCTATCATATTTTATAACATACAGATTAAAATATATTACATTTATAATATAGAGATAAAAAATATATGCACTGCTCAGAGTCTGATTGCAGAGGCATATAAATCTCCTGACTGGAGCAGCATATAAATCAGAGTAAATAACTTCTAGAACGTTGCTTCATATTTACCTTCCCTTTTTCTTCTAATATTATGACTGAACTGTGTGACTTAAAGAATATTAATTTTTAAGGATACATACATTAGGCTACTGAAGCAGAAGCAAGAATCTTTTGATTACTCACAGACCAACTCATATTATGGTAAAAGCTACCGGAGCCTACATAAGCTACATGAAGTTACCTTGCATGCTTTTTTTTGTGGGTAAACTTCATAGATAGATAAAATATCTCAATACATGAAAGCTTATCTTATAATAATTGTTTTACTCTTTAAAGTTTCATCAAACATTTTTTCCTAATTGAGGAATGGCATGATCTTATTCTTGTATATACAGAATATAAAATACAGACTAGCACTTATAACAGTGCTAAGAACCAAAAAAACATACCTAGCAAAATTATTAAAAATGCAGTTAAAAAATACAGAGGCCAACTGTTGATATAAATTTTACCTGAGAATTTCCTTTGGAGCTTGAGGTGAAGAGGAATGGCTCTTTTTTTCTTCTGGTGTCTCTGGATGTTTTTCCCTCTCTCCCCTCTCTGTTGTCATAACTTCAATGGCTGGTTCCACTTCAGTTTTGTTTTGATCGGTTTTTGTCTCCAACTTTGCTTGATCACATTTAAACATAAAAACAACAGAGGGTTTCTCACTGGAATCTGTTCTTGATTCACTGAACCAATTGTGACGTTGAACAGGAGGTGGTGGAAGCATATGAATTACAGTTCCATCAAGACCCACAAGTTTCCCTTTCTCTCTTTCTCGGTCCTCCTCTTCTTCAGTCTTTCTGCGACGAAAGAAGCTCTTAAATGATATCCATCGCTTAGGCTTTGCATCAACAACTCGCCTACCTTCTGAATGCAAAACTGATTCAGCCTCCGTAGACCTAACAGGGCTCATTGGTTTGCTCCAATTGCTGAAATGTTTTTGCAACGCTTTGCTGGCATGATAAGGTGAAGATGTGGAACGGGGAGGTGGGAAAGGGGGAGGCTGCTCTGTTTTAGGGCTCTGAGAAGTTGTCACTGGTTTTGAAGGCTGCATGATTGGTGATTTTGATGGGATTTCCTTTGACATAATTTCTGTGGATTTGATCCCCTCAGCATTAGGATTAGATTGCATTGAAAAAAGTGATTTCGGTCGCATTGGAGTGCTTTTATCTGTGTCTGCATCAGGAGGCAGAGAATAGAGTTCCTCAACGCTGCAAGACTTAGGGCCAGTCTGAGGTGTTTCAGGGAGAGACTGTGGAGGCTGGATTGATGCTACAATCTGCGATAGTACTGTACAGGCATTTTCTCGACTGTCATTAGATATTTCCTGTATATCTTCTATTTTAGCTAAAGAATCCTGAAAAGTTCTTTGTATTTTTGTTGGGGAGCCATGGCAAGAACCTTTGGGTGAAGTCTGACTTTTTCCAAGACAGCTATTGAATTCCTGAACTTTCTGAGCTACAGAAATCTGCGATAGTACTGTACAGGCATTTTCTCGACTGTCATTAGATATTTCCTGTATATCTTCTATTTTAGCTAAAGAATCCTGAAAAGTTCTTTGTATTTTTGTTGGGGAGCCATGGCAAGAACTTTTGGGTGAAGTCTGACTTTTTCCAAGACAGCTATTGAATTCCTGAACTTTCTGAGCTACAGAACCCAGTCTTCTCTCAGTGCTATTACCTAAACCTTTCACTTGGGATATTTCTGCAGATCTATTAGGTATATTTTCAGATACTGTGCTTTCTGTTTCTATTTCTTCATATGTGTGGCTGATGATACTAGTGGTTTTATCTTTAACAGAGAGATCTCCATTAGTTCCTAAAAAACTTTTATAGATGGCCAAGTTGTCATATGCATTTGGATTTATTACAATAGGAACTTTGATGGCATTCTTGGAACATCTAGCATAAGTTGGCTCATCATGAATAATAATTGGGAAGGGTGGCATGCCAGCATTATTATAGCTATTGAATTTTATTTCAGACAAGTTAGGGGACTTGACAGGGATTGTTTTTGTAGAAATATTTGTTGATGTAGGTGAAGTGGGAGCAGATTTATGAATATTTCTCCTTACAGGAACAGAAGGCCCTGGAATATTGGCAGTTAGTTCCACTTTAGGGATTTTTTGTCGTGGACTTGTACTGGAAGTCCAAACTTCCTGGTATCTGGCAGTGTTGGATTTTTTAAGATTAGGAGTTACTTGCCCACATGATACAGAATGAGACATAGCATTTGTACTTAGGGCATCTGGTAAATTTGGGTTAGACAGAATACATCTAGTATCTAGATTTTTTGCCTGATTCTCTATACTTTCATGTGTCATGGCTGCTGATACATCCACTATCGTATAAGGTTTGCACACTGGTTGTTCCATGTTTACTACTCTATAAGGTTTTGCTTGTTCTTCCAGGGGGATTGAATTTGTAGCTGTTGCCTGAAATGGCATATTTAAAGGACTTTTCCATTCTTGTTTATCACTTGGGACAGTAGTCTTGCTATCTTTTTCTTCTAGCTTAATGGCAAGCACAGCTTTGTGTGTCTCTACAGTTTTGGTAGCATTTTGAGTGTTTTTAATTGCAACTTTTACTTGTTGATCATCAAAAAACCTTTTATCACTTTCTTCCATTAATCTGGTACTTTTGGAACTGTTAGGAGACATTCTACCATTGCAAAGCCTTTGTGAAGAACTGCTGGCTGTTCCAGAATGAGATTCTTCAGTCAGAGAAGAATCAGGAGATATAGAATCTGATGAAACCATGCTTTGCATGCTTTCCTGTCCAAAAAGGATTACAGGGTCATCTCCATAACCATTCAAAATTTCATCATAGCTGTCATCATAATCTACCGCACAAAATCTCTGAAGAGACTTATGCCTTAAAGGCACTGTATTCCATTTCTTGTCAACACAAAATCGAACAGGTGACAGTGTATTAGCCCTAAAGTTAGCAAAACGTGGCTGTCCCCTCATGCGGATTTCCATTGCTAGCAACTCTTCATCACTTTCATCCCAGCTCTCATGATCTTCATGGATGCTGCCAAAAAACAGATCATCCTCACTTTCATCTCCACTGGAGAATTCAGGGTAACAGAAACGGCCACCTTCGTTGCTTATTACAGCAGTGGTTCCACTTAATACAACATGCTTATTTTGTGACTTTGTTCCACCCATCAGGCAACTTGGAGGGATCATTCTTTCTAATGACTTTTTATAACAATTGTTTATTCGCCCCAAGAATGCTTCCCTTGAATTAATTTCATTTCCTGTTAGAAAAGCTGAACGATCTAAGCCAGCAATTTCCTTCAATACTTCAGTTAGTCCATTATTGTTGCTTGGAGCTTTACTTGTATCATCATTATTTCCAAAAGATCTATGAATATGATTATAACTTTCAACTTCTTCTTCTTCCTCTTCTTCTTCATTATTATTGTTATTATTATTCAGTGGCTTTTTCTTCAAGACAGTTCTATTCTGGTTCCAACCTACAATAGCTGGTTTGTTCTCACAAAGATCCTGTGAGGTGATTTCACCACATATACCCTGTCCATCTATTGTCATCATGGTGGGTTTCACAGCGATAGTGGGTTTCTTTGCCACAGGTGGCCGAAAATTTCCTGTATTCTTAGCACGTTGGTTGCTGTGAATTGCATTGGTTTTTATATTTGAATTTGAGACTGGAGGTTTTTCACTGCCTGGAGGCAGCTGATGTAAGTTTTTTGGCTTGAAGCAATTTTTACATTCACCAGGTTTCCACACATGTTCAGTGAAGGCATTGCAAGCAGACATTTTCTGAGGCCTAAGCACCTGATGTTCAGAGATTGTTCAGTGCATGGTAAGATCATTCCTTACTATTTAATGTTGTCTTGCTTGCATAATGAAATCTGGTTCATCCTAGAAAAGTAAAAGATATTTAAAACCAGTGAGAAATGAATGCACATACTACCACTCAAGAAGCTGATCCTCTCAACTTCATTAGGCAGAACTTCCTGATCTTTTTAATAAAACAGGAACTAATTTTAAGCTTAATCTGTTCCATAATGAAGTTGTGAGGGTAAAACAACTAAATGTTATAGGTAGCCAGTTATGTTTTCAAATACAGTAAAAACTTAATGAGTGTAAGCCTTCATCTCACATTGACACGTAGTAAATAGAGGTAATGATCTATCAGTTTGTGTTAATGCTACATGGCAAGTCAAACTGTTAATTACAGAATATAGGCAAGCATTTTTACTGAACACCAGGTGGAGCCACAACATAATCAGAAGACGTTTCATAATATTTGATTCTACTATTTCATAGGAGGGCATCTTATAAACTTTAAGGCTTTTGCTTAATGAATTTCTGGCTTTGTTGCCTTTGTTTAAAGAATGATAAGTATAAGCATAAGCATTTTTTAATCCTGCCTTTATTATTTTTTATAAATAACTCAAGGTGGTGAACTTATCTAATACTCCTTCCTCCTCCTATTTTCCCCACAACAACAACCCTGTGAGGCAAGTTGGGCTGAGAGAGAGCAACTGGCCAAAGTCACCCAGCCGGCTCTTATGTCTAAGGTGGGACTAGAACTCAGTCTCCTGGTTTCTATCCTGGTGCCTTAACCACTAGACCAAACTGGCTCTCATGATAACATGATATCACTAGCAAAAAGATATGATAGTTTAATGTGTTATAATGCCATACTGAGTAATTTTAGTGGAAAATTGTTTCTTGAGGAATGTAAAATAATGAAAAAAACCAATACTTTGGCTATCCCTTTCTTTGAGTGGTATAGCTATTGAATTTTTTTTTTAAACTATTGTATTATTTTGAATCTGAAATATATTCTAGCAACTTCAAATAAGTCTCATCTTAAAAGTTTTTAAACACTGGTTTTATTCTAGTTATTTGCATGTAATAGCTTTTGCTTTGGTATTTTTAGAACTAGAAGCATTATTTCCTGTTGTCCAGATCATAGCATAGTAATGCTTTCCATTGTAATTCAAGTTAAAGCAAGGTTTAACCCACAACACATTTTACTTAGCTCAGTCTGTTTGAAAATATGGTGCTTGCTACTTTCTAATATCTAAGCAATAGAGTAGATCAATTGGACTAAAGCAGGAGAGAGGAATCCACAATCAGTGTTAGTCTGGTGTTGACAGGAATTAAATACTTCCTGTGAGGGATCTAAGTTATTAATTTGAAAGCCAACTTTTAAAATGGTCTGCAAAAATGTTTTCTATTTCTTTACTTTCATTGCAATATCACTATGAAATATACTGATTATATAATCTGAAGGTTATGCAAGAACAGCAAAAGAAAGCTATCCTTATTTTTAATATTTCCCTTTGATCCTTTATCTTACTGCAATGCTCCCAAAAGTTATTTTGAAAGTGGCCCATTATACCCATAATGCATTGCATTAGAGCAAATGTGCAAGGAAAGGCTGGCTGAGAATTTCTTTATGCTACATGAGGAAAAAAGAATATCAGACTATTCCTTTGATAATCATGACATCAAGGAAAGCCCAGGGGGAAAAATATCTGTGGTACATCTCTATACAATTTCTAAAGTTTGGTTCTCTTGGCATTATCCATTTGTCCAACAAAAGATATACACGCTGTCTCCTTTTTTTCACTATGCATTTTAAGGAACTATTTCTCTGTTCTAAATTTCAGGCTGACAGGTTCCTTCAGAGGCGTGCTGGCTGAATCACAAAGAAAACCTCCTACACTAATACTGTATACTAACATAATCCAGTTAAAAGGAACTTAATTGGTGTGCACTATTCCCTGCAATTTCAGTATTCTAAAAATGAATGGTCTCAGTAAATACCAGATGGTGACATGCACTAATTAATCAGGCTAGCTCAATGAATGAGCCTATTAAAATGAATGTACCTATTAGACATGTGTTTTCAATGCACTCTGCTGCAAAAGCCTCCCTCTAAAGGAACACTTGATTCATTTAGTGAGCAATATAGACAAGCATGTGCTGAAGTCATCTGACAGTGCAATATTATCGTCTCATCAATTTCTATCAATAGATACTTCATGCCAATATACATCTTAATTTTGTTTTTATTCAACTGAAGAAAATGTTGAACATTTTCTTCTTCCACTGTTTGGGAGGAGTTTCCTAGTACTGGCATGTTCCAGAATGCTCTGCAGGCATTAAACTTCATCCCTGATAGCTCTCAGTACAGCTAGCTAATCACTATTCATAGCAATAAAAGGCTCTTGTAAGAACACTGCCTTTCATCAGCACTTCTAGTGAAAAAAGAAGTTATGGTTCATTATCAGAGCAAAATTACAGAATAATCAGTTAAGATTTGGACTCTAGAAAAAATCTTGCATTTTAGAAAAAGCAGCACAAGTACATGCAAATAATAAAAGGGCACAGAATATTAAATATCTTTAAAAATCTTTTCTTAATTTCTAATTTAAGTGCCACACAATTTACTTATTTAGTGATACATGAAGGTTTTTTCAACAGCAGTATTATCCAGAGCTGTATGAAAACCAATTTCCATGTTTGCAGAAACCTCTGCCACACAGGGGAGTTCAAAGCATGGACCTGCTCTGTCGCAAGCAGTACTTCCCATCCAGAGATAATAGCAATGTCAGTGGAGAACCCCAATCAACATACAGCAATTCCATCTTGCTTGAATTCAGCTTCGGCCTGTCCTCTCCCATCTAGACCCTTATAGCTTTCAGGCAGCCAGAAGGATGTTGACAGACTAGCTAAGAGTTATCTAAAACCCCCAGATCGAAGGATGGCCTCTACAGAAGGGAATACACCACAGCCTCTTTCAAGACTGCTGGTGTCTCTCTCTTTCACAAAGATGTTTTGACAGTCTCCCAGATCCAGGTGGTCATATTTCCACCCATTTCTTGCAGCAGTCAAGATGGGCAGGACCTACAAGTGGCAGAGGACAATCTAGACAGCATCTTATCCACTTCCATGGATACTTGCTTCCAAACCTTCTACTTATAAACAGAAAAAATGGCACATTTTTTCTTTCTTTCTTGTAGTTACACAAGTTCAGTGTGCATGCAAGAAACAATGAAACAAGTTGAAAGCAGAAATTTTGTGTTACCTTAATTTTTGTACGTTATATACTGTATATTTGTTCAAAGCCTACTTAAAAAGGGGCTTTCCTGATGAGACCATTATTTGATTTCTATAGTATAATTGGTAGATCATTAATTTCAGGGAACTCACATTCTAGTCCCTATTTGGTTACAGATGTATCCTTTCTATGAAAAACATTATAAGAATCTTCTATGAAAGGTGATTATTCCGGTGAGCAACAGAAGGGAATTAATCAAACAACTAAATTAGAACTTTTAAACTCAAGGTAAGTCATTGAAACTCAGTTCCTTTAAAAAAATAGGATGAAAACAATTCATTATAATAAACATACCTCACTAATTTGCAATACTTCAAGGTAGTAGTCTCTATTGAGACTGCAAGCCTACCCCATTCCTGGTAGTCCTAGAAGAAAAGCTGCTTTAATGAAAACCTCCAAAATGAAGCTATCAAAACTGAACTGGGTTTATTTTCAAATAACACCATTGTTAAAAGAACTGTAATACCACCCCTGATTTGTATTCCTAACACAACCACGCCAGCATATTTTTCCAGCAGTGATTTACATACCTGCATATTAATTTCATTTTTTATTTTTAATTTTCATGGAAATTTTGTTTAAATAATCACAAATAATCCCTTTGCTTAATTTTTAGTAATCCTGAGTAATTAAAAAACTAGTCAATCAAATAATGTGTATTTGAAAACTAGGATAAAGAGGCAAAAAAAGTAGAAAAGGAACTCTGTAATAATATATCATTATTTTAAATCACAGTGCAGAATTTCTTACAATGCCCAAAAGACTAATTTTTTGCATAGTGGACCCGACCCTCCCCAAACTTCCTTCATTGAAAAAAAGGGAAAACTCCTATATGTTGGTGTTCTCTCAAGATGGTAAAATGTGATATAGGGAGTCCTTGTTTAGTGACCGCAACTGGGACTGGCAACTCAGTTGTTAAGCAAAGTGATTGCTAAGTGAAATCATGACTGTACTTATGATCTTATTTCAGCTTTCCTTTGCTTTACAGACCTGTGAAGGTCGTAAACACAAGGATTGGTCGTAAAGTTACTTTTTCATCACTGTCGTAACTGCGAATGGCCACTAAGCAAGGCAGTTGCTAAATGAGGACTACCTGTACTACACTCTGGATGTAGCCATTTTATATGAACTCTGCATTCTATCTTGTACATGAGTCTGAATAGATGTTAAATATATCCTAACACTGTGGAGTCCTTGGGGTTCTCTGAGCTTGGTTCTTTTCTTGCAAACGTTTCATTACCCAGCTAGGTAACATCTTCATCCTATCCTAACACTTTCAAACTACTGCTACCTAAGTAAACTTTAACATATCTTTAGTGTATAGTGATACAGAAACAGTGCATTGCATGCTGATTATCTGTAACTAAAAGAAAATAGTTTATGATTATTAAAAACAAATTTAACTCAGTATTAAGTTTCATAAATTACAGCCCATTTCATCAGCATCATAACAGTGTTATTCCAAATTACACATAAGTGCACTTGTGATTCACTGGGTGGGGTTGAGAGAGATTTAGATTAAGACGCAGTTGAAAAAGAAAATGGAAATCTATTACTTTCACTCTATCCACTATGGATTCATATTAATGCTATTTTTTTCTGCTTAAATAAAATTAAATCATTAAATGTTTAACTACATTTTAGAATGAAGTCAATAGAAGGATGCTATTCACAGGCAGAAAGCCAAAAAGATAGAATATGTATGAGAGATTAGAAGAGACAAGAACTGATGTTACATGTACAAAGGAATTATACAAGTCCCGGATCAATGAGAAAAGACATT